GACACCAAAGGGGGCAGGGACAGCTTCTCCATGGGGCGGGAATGTCGGCTGAAGGTTGGGAGGGGGAAGGGAGTGGACTGGGAGGCAGAAGAGCCACAAACAGAGAGAGACGCCAAAGAACCATTTTAGCCCCTGCCCAGAGCGACTTTTTAACCCAAACCAGCCCCCCCAGCTCACCCCCTTCTCCAGCCCACCCCCGCTTTCCCTGCCACAGGCTCTCCCCGCAGACAAGCTGTCCCTCAGCTCCAGCTCCGGGCCCAGGGGTTAAAACAACAGGCACGAGAGAAGAGAGGCAGGAGCTTTGGGGGCAGGCGTGGGATAGCGCAGGGGCCGGCCACAGAGACGCAGCCAGGCAGACACAGAAGGAGGCTTGCGGAGCGTTTCTGGTCCCTGCCCAGAGAGAGCGAATTCAGTCCAGCTCGCTCCCGGTTACCCCAAAGGGAAGCATCCGAGCCCGTCTCCCCGCCAGGCCCTCTGACCTTTCCCGGTCCTGCACTCGTTAGAAAGATGATGCCTCCCTTTGAGTTTCCCCCCTGCCCTCTAAGCCTGGCACCCCGGTCACTACAGGCTGCATAGAGCCTTTCTGGTCCCTGCCCAGAGAGAGCGAATTCAGTCCAGCTCGCTCCCGGTTACCCCAAAGGGAAGCATCCGAGCCCGTCTCCCCGCCAGGCCCTCTGACCTTTCCCGGTCCTGCACTCGTTAGAAAGATGATGCCTCCCTTTGAGTTTCCCCCCTGCCCTCTAAGCCTGGCACCCCGGTCACTACAGGCTGCATAGAGCCCTGGGAGCAAAGTGAGACCCCCATAGCTCCGGGGGAGAGAAAGCAAGCAGCGTCTTACTGAGCTCAGAGGAGACGGCGGGGGAGCGGTGTCCGGCTGGAGGGCGAGGAGGCGCAGCGATCGGACGGGCACCAGGGAGCAGCTGACTGTGGCCCCACAGCCCCCCCCCGCCTCTATATATAGATCAATAATGCGCGGCTGTTCTGGGAAGGACAGGACACCGGCCAATTTTTTGTCTGCAGAGCAGGAGGGGGAGGGCAGGGTGACAGCAAATGGCTCAGGCAGCTGTTGGCATAGAGAGAGGGGGCTCTCACTCTGCTTGGGGAGCACCCTGCATTCCCCTCCAGGAGCCCGGGGTCCCACTCTCTCCCCTGCACACCGGGGTCTGGGAGTGCCACCCTTCCTCCTGGGAACCAGGGGCTGCGGGAGCCCCCTAACACAGAGCACCCACCCTGCTGTTCCGCACACCGGGGGCTCTCCTGCCTCCGGCTCTGGCAGCCTGGAGTGATTGGGGGAGGAGGGTCAAGCTGGATTTCCCAGCCAGGGTGAGTCGGGGCAGCTGCTTTGGTGCGCTTCAGTGGAGCGCTGGGGGCACCTGGACTCGTCCATCTTTGGCTGCAGGGTTGCTCAACTTTCGAACTTCAGAAATCTGGACACTTCCGAACTTCTAGAACCACCCCCGTCCCACCTCTTCCCATGGGCCCTGCCTCTTCCCCAGGCTTTCACCCCTTGCTCCGCCTCTTCCCCCAGGCCCCACCTCCTGCTCCGCCTCTTCTCCCAGGCCCCACCTCCTGCTCCGCCTCTTCCCCCAGGCCCCACCTCCTGCTCCGCCTCTCCTCCCAGGCTCCACCCCCTGCTCTGCCTCACCTCTTCTCCCAAGCCCCACCCCCTGCTCCGCCTCTCCTCCCAGGCCCCACCTCCTGCTCCGCCTCTTCTCCCAGGCCCCACCTCCTGCTCCGCCTCTTCCCCCAGGCCCCACCCCCTGCTCTGACTCTCCTCCCACACCCCACCCTCC